TTACACATTATCTTACGATGTAAAAAATGGAGGAAGTATGAGGTGTTGTAAAAGACCAGTCGATTATATAAAACAGAATACAAAGAACAGATGACCATTCAAGTCGTTAACTTTAATGAAATATTGCTGGATGATACTTTATGTACTATTTTGTAAGACTGTTCGCGTCCTTTTCGCGTTTCCCATTTTGCAACTGTTAACGTTGCTGGCGAATCTCAGCGAGTTCAGTGTTTCATTATAACACTCGTCTAAAGGCGATACGTTCAGTAACATCAAAGTTTTCGAGTTACCACCTAAGGACGGCATCAATAGATGCGTAAGCTTCGAATTTCTATACGGGATGTGTTCTTGCTTCTTTAAAAGAGCAAGTATCACGTTGCCCAGATTTGCCAGCGACTTGTTGATGTTTTTTGTTTCAGTCACTCGTACAGACTCCTCGTTCTTTAATCTTTCCGAACCCGCCAGATCGACCAAATTCAAGTTTCCTATCGAGACCTCTTCTTTCGTTTTATGCGTTCCGATAAGCTTTATTCTCGCCACAGAATGCGACCTCGATGATCTGTAATATAAAATTTTCGCATAAAAACATGTCTACGCTGTTGTTTCAACCACAGAAGGTGGAATTACCGTTCGTTCGATTGGGTAGCTGCAACCGCTCTGTTACGTTGCGCTATTAAAAGACACTCGTGTAACTCTTCGGGGCTATGAATTTCCTCTACTTGGAGATTAGTGACGAACAAATCGTGACCCTTGGGGTCAGCCATTCGAATGTCGTGATTCTTTGGTTGACAATCCAGTAAATCAACAATATGCTCGTTGTAGATTTCAAGAAAACTGGCTTCTATTCGGTATTCCCAACCAAGTAATTGAAACTCTTTCATTAATACCGTTCTAGGTATCATGCCTTCTGTCTCAATACCAGGTAAACCCTCCATAGTGTAAGTTTTGCCAGAACCAGTTTGACCGTACGCGAAAACGCAAACGTTATAGCCTTCCAACGCAGATTGTACCAACAACGCTAATTCTTCAAAGATATCTTCTTGTTTCGCGGTTGGTGGAAACACTTTATCGAAAGAAAATTCTTGTCGATTTGCTCTGTACTTCCCGCTAGCCGCACTCGAGCTATCGAACTTGCCGACTTCAATAGTGCATTCGTCTATGAAGTTCAATGTACACATCCTGTAGGAAACAAAAAAATATTCTCAAGAATCCGTTAGATATCAATATAATGTAAAATACATACGGTTTCCCAAGCTCTTCGTTCGTTCTGGGACGAACCCTACAGAACACTCTGATGTTCCCTTTCATCTCTTGAATTGCGTTATGCAGTACTCGGCGATCTTTATCCATGGTGTGTACTAGAGTCTGTAAATCTGTTTTCAGTTTCTCGAGGTCTTCATTGATTTTCATTTGAGTATCTAAATTCAATTGTAAATCTTTTACTACGGCTTCGTGCTTACTAATTAGAGTTTCCTGGCTGCGACACTTCTGTTTAAATTGGTCCAGGATGCTTGAAACGTTTTGAACTGTTTCTTCTGACTCTTTTAATTGTTTCGTTAAACTTTCGTTTTCTTTATGAACTTTATTCATCTCCTCTTTCATTTCCTTAAGGTCCTTGTCCAGTTTTTCGTTTAAAGTTTCATATTCCTCTGCCTTTTTTTTATACGTGCTCTCAGTTGTCTTCAAGGAGTTCAGTTGTTCTTCTAATTCACTGCATTTCGATGCAGTCTCTTTAAATTGTTGTCTCACATTAGACAATTCGTCACTTGCTTGGGCCAATCGACCCTTCAAGTCCCACTTCATAGGCTTGACAGGTGCACCACTATTTTGTGTCTTCCCAACTCTCGTAGTCTGACTAGGTTTGGCAGTGTTTGTTAATGTAGTACCAGTTCTTGTTGAAGTAGTTGTCACTTTGGCTACAGGTCTAACATATGGTTTCTTAACATCCCCGTGTACTGTGGAGGTTGTAGCTGGCCTTTTCACAGCTCTAGTATTAATGGAAGACATGGTTTTTGATCTGGTAAGAGTCTGCTTGGAGGGAGCCTTATTTTCAGTTGCACATTTATCAGTAATATTCATAGTACTCTTGCATTTCTTCAAAGTTTCACTAGAGCTTTTTTGTGGCTGATTATTCTTATCTTTCAGCTCTTTATTAGTGTCCATGTCTGTTTTAACTTCCTTTATTGAATTAATTACACTCTTCACAGTACTTGGTACATTAAATTTTGGTTTTGGTAGTCGTGACTCCATCTAAAAATCATTGTTAACAAAACTGAGAAATAGAGTAAAGGAAATAATCGAAATAAAAGTGAAGAATATGAAGGAAAGGATTTACTCAATAGAAGCTCAAATATAAATTATCAAAACATTTAAACGCATGATTTAATGTTTAACAAATGAATCTACCATTCATGCATCCACAAATCCAATTCTGTTATACTTTCCAACGCTAATAAATACTATGACTTAAATAT